GATGAGATACCCCTACCGTGGGCGAGGAGGAGATTGGCGGAGGCAAGGAAGCTGGCATGAGGACAGCTTGCCAACTAGAACAGAGCTCCTGGCCAGGCAGAACTCCCCCAGGACCAGGTGTGGCAGTGCATGTCTGTGATCCCAGCACTTGGGAGATAGAGGCAGGAAGATTCTGATTTGAAGCCAGCCTGGGCTACCTAAAGAGAAGAAACCTGGGGAGGGGCCTCAGAAGCTAGCTGTGTGTGGTCAGTAGGAAAAGAGAGAACTCAGAGAGACAGCAGGGGGCATACTCGCCTGTCTTGAGTCTCAGTGTCAAGGGGAGGGCATCCGTGAAGGACGGGAATTAGAGTAAAGGGCCTGACCCTGTCATACTGCAGAGAGGGCCAGAAAGGCTCCATCCAAGTGGACGGTGAGGAGCTGGTCAGTGGCCAGTCCCCAGGCCCTAATGTGGCAGTCAACACGAAGGGCAGTGTCTACATAGGTGAGTGCCCAGGATGGTGTGATGCAGGTTGGGGAGGAGTTGGCAGCCTTCAGAGCTGGAGCCTGGCTTCCCCACCTCTCTGGCTGTACCACCAACCCACTCTTAAAACCCTCTCCCATAGGTGGTGCCCCAGACGTGACCACGCTAACTGGGGGCAGGTTCTCCTCTGGAATCACTGGCTGTATCAAGAATCTGGTACTGCACTCAGCCAGACCTGGCGCCCCACCTCCCCAACCCCTGGACCTGCAGCACCGTGCTCAGGCAGGGGCCAACACACGCCCCTGCCCCTCATAGGCACCTGCCTGCCCCATACCCCCATGGACTCCGGGCAGTGCCCAGCCCGACAATGTCGAGTATATTATTATTAATATTATTATGACTTTTTGTAAGAGACTGAGGCGATGCCACACGCTTTGCTGCTGCCACCCTGGGCTGGACTGGAGGGTGGGCGTGCCACCTCACACATGCATGGGCAGAGCCCCAAGGCTGGTGGGCAGGGCAGATGAACTGGAGAAGGTTGCCTCAGAAGGGCCACCAGGACTTGGAGTCAGATATGGTGGCTGGATGGAATCAGAACTTCTCCCTCTCCTGCCCCACCACAGAACCAGATCCAAAGTGGTGTTGGGCTGCCCATGGGCAGTCCTCATTCCTGTGAGCCAATCTCAGCTTATCACCTGGTGCCTCACCATTGACCCCAATGAGGGGGTGTTGCAGTGGCCTGGGCCACCGCCCCGTGCTGGGAGCAGAAAGCAGCTCACCCTTCCCCCACCAGCCACTTCCCAGCTCCCTAAACTCCCACCTAGCCAGGAGCCCCTTGTCCCTGGCAGCCTTCCCTCCCACCCAGCCATCTTCCACCTGCATTTTCCTGTTACCCCCACACACAGCCAGGGCCCTGCCCTCTGGAGCTGCAAGGGAAAGCAACTCTTCCCCAAGCTGCTAGACAGAGCCTAGCAATGAGGTAACCCCTACAGCAGGCCGAACCCCCCACCCTTCTGGAGGTGAAGACCCAGGGC